ATTATGCTAAATAATTAAAAGATAGTAATTAGTAGTCAATTATAAGTAATTACTATATTGGTAACGTACTCGTACTTAGTAGTTTATACGTAATTAATTAGTATATTAATAATAAATAATTAGTATATAAATAATTTATCAATATTCCATTTACTAATTAAATAATTAACTTTTAGTCACATAATTAAATAATTAGTTAATTAATTACCAATTTTTATTTAATACTCTATTATTTGATATATTAAATGATCAATTTTTAGTAATTATTATTTTAATAATAATTAATTATTTATTATCAATTATTAATTACTATTGATTAGTATATTACTCAATTAATAATTAATTTAATATTAATTATTAATTAAGTAATTACTGTTTTTTTATTGATCAATTATGTAATAATTAATAGATTATAATTGATATATTAATAATTAGTTATTTATTTAATAACCTTCTATTAATTATTCTATTATAAATATACTATATAATTAATTAATAATTATTATTTAAAATAATATTATTGATAAATACTAAAAAATAAAAATAAAAAAGATAAAATAATTTTAAATCATTCTCATTATTTTTTATTTTTATTTTTAAAATATTTAATAAACACAAATCCAAGACATTGGGCCCACAGATAGCAACAGACAAAACTTGATTTGCACGTCGTCGTTGGAGGAGCATTGATTCTTAAGCAAGGTTGACCTTCTCCGTACACGTGCCGATTAACGATTTCGCACGTTTTGTGTTGCATTAGGCACCGAACTTCATAAATTTTTTGGGCTTCCATACAAAAGTTAGGCACGACCTTGTCAATACCAAGGTGCAGATTCTTTCCACCAAATTTCTTTTTTAAGACTTTTTTTTTTATTTTTTATTTTTAAATAAAAGAAAAACAACTCGTTTAGGCGCCGACTTATTAATTATTCATTGATTATTTTGTTTAGGCCTAATCGCTTACTTTCAAATTTATGAGCCGTCTAATCCATTTTGTAGTTAAGTATGATGTACTGTTGAGAGTAGTTCTAATTATGTTAGTTATTTTAGTGATGTTTGATATATGAGTTTTATTACGGTGTAAATCTATAATTTTAGTCTTGTTAAAGTATTTTTTTTTAATAAAAATTTAAATTTTAAAAGTCATAAACAAGAACCTGATTTGAACGTAAGTTTGAACCTATATATCAAATGGGGCCAAATTCATTTTTTTTTTAAAAGTAAAATGACTAATGATTTAGTTTTATTTTGACTTTTCTCCGTTCCAACTATTAGTTTAATGGTTATCTATTTTAGAGAATACTTTTTACATTAGCTAAATATACTTAGTATGGAGAGACTAGTTATTTAATTTTTTGTACTATTTTATTCTTTCAACGGTAATAAATGTAAAAGTATTTTTTTAAAATTCAATCAAGTTTTTTATATTTTAAATTCAATAAAAATTAAAATAATTTATATTTAGTTAAAATAGAGAGTATGGTTGAAGTGAATCACTTAAAAATTGCTAGTTAAAATAATTTTTTAGTCATTTTAGCTAAAATTTAAATAAAATTTAAAGAGTTCTTTGAAGATGTTACAGTAAAAGTCTGTTACAACTGCGAAACTACATGACCGCTCTATGTTACCACCGTATGCGTTAAGAGCTTTCTTTTTTTAAGTTGATAAATAATTATTGTTTGTAAGAGTTTGGATGTGGTAGTGATTTAAAACAACCAAACTAAATTGATTATTGCCTTCTACCATATGAATATCAATACATATATGTGAAATGTATTCAATTTGATAAATCTAATCTTTTTTAATCTATATAATATTGTTTATGCATTCGTGTAACATTCATTTTGTCTAAATATAACACCCAATAAAATATAATCTACGATCATGTTACATATAACTTGCTTCATTGTTATCATTGTTACACTAAAAAATTATAAGTTCATATGGAAAATGTTATATCAGACTTAAAATCATGCCTACACACATATCCTATACAACACAAAATAATAGTAGTGATGATGATGATGATATGCAATTTCTATAACACGTACATAGTAAATAAAGTTTTTAAATTATTTGTTTTAGTTTTATTTATTTATTTATTATTCTCATTTATTTGGTCACTCAAATAATTTTAGGATTAACCGATTTTGATAATTAATTAAAATTAACACAATTTTCGTGGAAATAATACTTTATTCATCACTTTATTACTTCTAATTAGCGATATTGTGCACTTACAATTTTTACATACTTTTAAAATGCTTGCCGCCCTAAATACCCTATCTAACTAATTCTTAGTCTTAAAATTCTCCAAAAAATATTGCATTACTTTAAGATATTGGTTTCTCAATGGAGAATTTTAAAAAATATATGACAGATAAGACTTATAAGTTTTGAACCATTAAATATGTATCAGATTATAAAAATAATCTACATATTTGTACAACTTTAATCGAATCTAATGTTTAGAAACACACATAAAAATATACACTATCGGTGAATCCCTACCTAGAAAGCTCCCTTTATAATTATCTTAACTAATTTCGAGGTCACAGCATCTTTATAATGCTCTAACGCTATATAGTAAAGTAACCGTCTTCATATAAGTGTCTTCCAAATATCCAAACGGAAGGAGTAAATTAAAGTTAAGTTGGATCTCTTTTACAAACGCCACATCTAAAATTTGCTTTGTTGCTATACCACGGCTTGCATGAAAAGAAGCAACATACACGGACTTTTTCCTTTCATTTGCTTCTTTTGGGGTCCCTTTTTGCTTTTCCGTCTCTATAGTCTATTCTAAGCCAAATCTCAAATGCTCTTGCCTCCAACAATTTATGCACCCACAAGCTCACATTTTACAGTCAAAACTTTAGAAGTTACTGACATGAAGAAAGTGGTTATTGCAAAAAGAATCCGCGTAAATGGTCAGGAAATATTTTTCTTTGAAACCAAAAAAATCTTTTAATCACCAACACGCTAGTTGTGATTGTCTGCATACATCACCCCCAGTTTTCACTTTCCACAGTCGGATATTTCTTTTTCTTTTTCTTTTTTTTTTCTTTTTTTTTTTTCTTTCAGAGCAGCAATTTTTTCAGGTTGTGGCTTCGATTTAAAAGACACTACACGTTTGGTTAATAGGTTTGAAAAGAGAATCTTTAAACATAAATTGAAATTTTATATAAAATACTATAATAAAAAAGTTTGAATTGGAGTATGAAGTAAAGAAATGCCTGCTTAATTCACACCGTCTGTTTGGTACTCCAAATGAAGGGTCAAATAGAAAAGTGGAGAATGGTCAAATGAATAAAGAATCTACACGTATAAATGGAACCTATGATGATTTTACTAGAGAAAAGGAATGAAAATGACCAATCATGTACGTGCGTGTCATCTTATGGCTACAAGTGATTTTCTATCTGAATGGCTTTTGGGGGCTCTTGCAACCAAAATGGTATATTACTTCCTTTTCCATTTCGTCCACCGACAATGACTTCCATGGAAAAAAAAAAAAAAAAAAAAAGCTTATTAATAAATATAGATCCAGAACCACCCAAAACTTTATCCTTCGTAATTTGCTGCACCAATTCTAGCAATGACTAAAACCAAATGATAAGAATCAGACACTTGGCTTGCAAATCTATCGGCCAATTTACCCAAAATTAACGTTTGTCTGACTATGAAATTGTCCACCGATAGTGAAAGACGGCAGGACGTGAAAAATGATGTCCAATGTTTCTTTCTAATTTTTTTTCCTGTTTGTTAGTTTCACTTATAACACATGCGAGCACTAAAGTATCTTGACCTATGACCCACATGATTGTTAACCAAAAGGTGCCAAGAAATTCTGAACCTTGCCAAATAATGTTCACATGATCTAAATTAATTTAGGGAGAAAGGGAAAAATAAACTGAGACTTGAGATGAATTAAAATTAATAGGTCAATAGTTTACATAAGTTAATAAATAGGCTAAATTACTGTTTTCGTCCATAACTAGTCTGGTTATGAACCATAACTTGATAAGTTATTGTCCATCAAGTTTAGTTATTTATGAACTATAACTTTACAAGTTTATCCATAACTTATTTAGTTATGAACCATAACTTGATAAGTTATGACTTATTAATTTTTATAACTAAAAATTGATCTATATATTTTTTTAAATTTTTCATATCGACCTATTTTTTACTATTTCTCATTAATTTATACGAGCCGGTAGTACAATTTTTCAGTATCCTTTTTTTTTTTTGAATAAAAAACTTTTTGGGCCTCATTAAAAGAAAGGTCGAAACTTGGCGCTTTTCGGCTGCGTTACATTTCTAAGTTGGAGCCCAACTAAGAAGCCTGACTGTGTCACATATAGTTGGGTTTTAGTCATTTATGGGAACCTTCTTTAACGAGCTCATCTCTTTATCTTGTGATTCTATCTATAGTAATGATAGGTAGAACTTCGCCCTACAAAGTACCGACCTAACAATTATGGACACGAACATGTCTGTACTTCTCACCTCTACTAGGGGCTTTGGTAGATAGTTAAGCATCAGCCTCTCCAAAAGCAAAGGTAAAAAAAGGGCAGAAAAGAAAACAAAAAGGCCCACTTTTTTTTTTTTTTTTTTTTTTTTTTTTTTTTTTTTTTTTGGTTGAGAATGGGCAACTGGTTGTAGCTATCCTGTGTGACTCAATGAGTCCATATGATGAGGAATATTGCTCATATCGAGCCAATAAGTTACGTCGAGTGTAACCTCAACCCCACTAAAAAGTGTGTCAACTCAACTCCACCAAAAGCTAAAAACATTATGCTGAAAATATGAAAATAGTCTCAAACGCTTTCACATGACTCGAATTTGTAATTCAATTTACCAATCACTTGAGATTAAGCCTGATGTCACTAGACCACCACCTTGGTGGTTAATTAACACTAATAGTAATAGTGATGAAATGAGCATGTAAAACTGTAATTCTCATACTTAATAGGTAATTATGTTATTAATCCAAAATCAGTAGGGAGTAATAAAAATGCACGTCATTTCTTTTTGTATAGTGCCACCACAATTCAGAATTGCAGTAAACTACATGAAGATACTATTATTGTCTGTATTATATGACATCATATTTCAAGTACACAAAGATAAGCATACATAATAAACGAGTAATTCTCAAACGACATGAACATGTAATGATTTCCTAGTCTTAATTTATTTATCCATACATATAATTATTGTTTAGTCCCTGTTTCTTTCTTCGCCAAAAGTAACCCTATGATCTCAAACCAATATTATCTTCTCTTATGGCATATCAATGGCTCTCAAACCAGTGGAGGCAAGCTTGTTGGCAAGAGCAAGCGAATTGCTCGTAACACAACTCGCTCTCGAAACCCGGCTCCGAATCCGCCTCACTTCCCTTCCCTTTTGGCCCTCAAAACCGTCCAAGCAAGTGTCGGCGTCCGTCAGCGCGGCGCTCAACCACGTGTTGAGGTCTCCCATTTGCGTCCCGAACGTTCTCCTATTCAAGTTCCTCAGAATCCCGAGCGACTTGTGGAGCTCGTCTATGGCGTTTCCGAAGCACTCTATGCAGTCAGAGAGCGCGGCACTGTTTCTTGCTCCCCTAGCGCGGTTCTCTTGTCGTTTGAGCTTGATCAAGTACTGAACGGCGCTCTTCGCTTCGGTTATCGTCACCGAGACGCCCGCTCTGGCCCAACGGCTCGGGCTCGTCTTGGCCGCGTCCGAGAACGGAGAAAGCGAGCGAATGCAGAGGCTGCGGTATCGCGTTACTGCGCAGGCTTGTCGGACGTATTTGTCGTCGTTTGCGGCGGACAATTGGCTTGAGGCCATTGTCATAAAGAATATTGCGACAAGGATTAATGATAGAGTGGAGTTGTATTGGGTGCCATGATTTTCCATTCTCTCGTGATAGGTAGAGATAGTGAAAATTTGAAATAGGGAGAAATAGAAGAAGGATAATGGAATGGGAAATTTGGGGTTGCTAGGAGAGAAGGCGTTTGTGGTGGAAGGAATGGTCTTTAGAGTGTGAAGTAGAAGAGTTTGGGAGATTGAGAGCCATTTTTCTTTTTTCTTTTTTTTTCTTTTGTTTTTTGGAGGGACTTGTAGTATTAATTAGCAATTGTAGAACTAAAAGGGAATTGAAGGGGTCTATAATAAATTGGCTTTTGGGTGACTTGGAAAAGGTACTGGGGGAGCTTTTTGTTGGTTCTGATAATTTAGGCAAGAGAACGGTGAGTTCAATAAAGAAGGGAGAGAGTGATTGTGGAAGTAGTTTGGGATGGTGAAATACATGTGAAAGAAAGGACACGTAAAGTTGAGTTTCTCGACTCGTCATAGATTGAGGATAAGGAGATCTATCCATTACAGAAGTAATTATTATAAGCGACGCCACATCAAAATTGCCACATCATAGAATGAAAAGTAAACTTGCCCCATGAGCCATGATTGAGGATCGCTCAAACGTGAGCCAAATGTGTTTTGTCCAAATTATCTCCACCGGTCAAAGGTAATCTACTAGATTATCACGAGTATCTACTATATGTTATCAGAATCAATGGTGACACTGGTCGCCAGAAAGTAATCTCGTAAATTATCAACAATAATGTACCAGATTATTTCAACTTTTTAATTATCATCTAGCATCAGAGAGTAATATATTATATCATCATTCATTCGTAATCTATCAAATTATTTTGACTTTTTAACAAATGTAATTGGTATTTTTTCTGGTGTTGGTCGTTGGAGAGTACTATGGTAGATCATTACTGATAATCTACCAGATTATTTCAGTTTTTCAATCCGGCACCAGTTACTAAAGAGTATTATACTAGACTATTATTTGTACTCTACCAAATTATTTCGACGTTGTCAATAAATATCACCAAAATCCACCGACGTCAATTTTCGAGGAGTAATATGGTAGATTACTGATATTTGAGAGTAATCTTCTACATTATTACCTATGATCTATAAGATTACTTTGAGAAAATTTTTAAAAATACTCCTTCAAATTCAAATGCAGCGCATTTCATTTTTATCTCTTAACATTAGCCCATAAATATCACCAATATCCACCAACATCAATTTTTTAGGAGTAATATGGTAGATTACTGATATTTGAGAGTAATCTTCTACATTATTACCTATGATCTATAAGATTACTTTGAGAAAATTTTTAAAAATACTCCTTCAAATGCAGTGCATTTCATTTTTATCTCTTAACATTAGCCCATAAATATCACCAATATCCACCAACATCAATCTTTTAGGAGTAATATGGTAGATTACTGATATTTGAGAGTAATCTTCTACATTATTACCTATGATCTATAAGATTACTTAGAGAAAATTTTTAAAAATTTCCCTTAAAATGAAGCTTTTTTTTTTACCCCTTAACATTAGCCCATATATTTCTACTTTATAGACTAGACCTAATCAATAGGTAGAGTTTTTCAAAAATCAGGTGGTGTTTAAGAAGATAGAATACGGAGCTTTCTCATTATTTTGACGTTTTCAACCACTATTATCGGACTTGGCTTGTACCTGTTGCAAGAGTGGAATCTGGTAAGTTAATGTCAATAATCTACTAGATTATTTCAAAATTTCCAACAAATATCACCGTCTTCCCAACATCAGTTGCTTGACTAATCTGGTAGAATAAAACCAATGAAAAATTCAAAAAATAATAGAGAAAAAAAAATTAAAAACAAAATTACAAATGGTAGGATTTTTAATTCTATGAGGCACAAATCTTCCTATGTGGCATTTGTGATTGGTGTGGGATTTGTGCATTTTTATTGTCATACTTATATCAAATCTATTTAATTATATGTTGATATTTTTATACATCGTTTCCATATTTTGTTGATAGATTTCCTATTGATTTGTTTCCATAAATAGTCCGACTTGATTGGATACTTACAGATTTTGTTGGCTATCAACACAATTTGACTTCTGGGCTATATTCAAATTACTTACAAGATAAAGTTACCGTTTTTATGAGATAATATTTTTGATTTGCTTATCACAAATTTAGCTCATCTCTTTTTGGCAAACTTTTGTGATTTCAGTTTTTGTGGTTTTGATCCTTGCGCATAATTGAGTCTAGGTTCATTAAGGATCAATTCATTCTTTGATTGCGTTTATTTGGACATTTCATTCAGGATTTTTCTGATCAATTTCGGATTATGATTGAATTCATTTTTGTTAACAAATCACGAGTTGTCTGTCTAGTTTATTTTGACAGTTGCAAGTTCGGATATTTTGTTCACATAGTGACAGCTGGATTTAATGAAGCAAATCAATTAAGAAGACACAATCAAATCTCAGCCTTGATCAAGTGGGGAGACTCTAGACCTCTCTCATATCTGGGTTCATTATTTAAGGAGGTCTCATTCAGACCTTTGTGTGTAGAGAGCACGAACTAAAATTGAGAGATCATTTTGTAATTGAGTGTTCACATTTTGTGCTTAAGAGTGAGAGAAAATTAGAGCATTCCTTAGGCTTTATTTGTAACTCTCAAACCCTGTAGTTTGCGGACTTTGCGAGGATTCAGAGGAGGTCCGAGGAAAAGCTGAAGGCAGATTGTGCTGCTGGGAATAAGTCAGAAAGACTGAAGGCGGGCATCATGCTTGGAGTAGGTCAGGAGGACCAAAGGTGAGCATAAGACTCGGAGTAAGGCCAGGAGTCTGAAGGCGAGTCAAGGGAGTCACCGTGAGTTAGGAGTTAGTGTAGATTCAGAAGGTTTCTTGTAATTCTAAGCTTTGTAACTGTTTTTGGTAATATACCAAATCGAAGCTTTTTTCGATCTCAATAATCATGGCAAGGTGTAGCCCACCAACCCAATTTTTCGGGCCAAAATTCACTTATTTTCATCAGTTTTGGAGAAAAAAAATCGGAGAACTGTGACTGAAAACTGTTGGAAATGTGTCCATAAAGTAGGATGTAATTTGTTATTTGTGAAATGACAAATGTCAGACATTATTATTTTGCTGATTTTATAAAATAAAATAAAGTTATGTTTTGATACATATTCAAGAGTGTTAGTGATATTGCTTAGTCCATAGACTGTTATCAACGAAAGAAGAGTCAGGGAAACCCTGCCGGACAAACTTTTCTGATATAGTTTAAAATAGATATTCGCAGTCTTAGGATCGATTGGGCAATCGAATCCGATTATGACTGTTAGATCGAACCATATGATGCTGGTCTCGGGGCATGGGAGTTGGACTCTGTGGTTGATCTAGACATGTTCACAACATGTTGAATAGACCATGTGACTGATTAGGTTAGAGTAAAAACCGTTTACAGAACTCTAAACCTAATTGTCACAACTTAAGTATATTTGTATAATTATCTCAATCCTGAAGTGAATACATAACTCGACTTAATTTCTCATGATTTTTGATTCACCAGTGAGATTAGTTCACAGTTTTTGAACAACATCTCGGCTATTGGGATCATGACAAAATTGAGTTGGAGTTATGTGATTCACAGATATGGAATTCGTAAGAAATAATATCACCTCATGCTTTATTGATGGGTGTGTGAATAAATAAACCAGGCTTGGTATTCAATGATGATATTCATTGATTAAGATATCGTGACATGTGCGAGACATCTTACGAACATATGGCTTTCTTATTCACAGTCAAATAAAGGAGTTGAGAAAATAATGATTGGAATGGTAAAACGGTAATATTCTATACCATTCTGATCACTCATATTTACGAAGGATAATAATGCATTTATTCTGTGGACCATGTGATAAATTGTATTAACACCATCAGAAAATAGCGCATATGAATCGAGAGATTATTCGGCATCGAACTTTTAGTGGAGTCGTGCGATGTCAGAATCAAATATGTCGATAACTTATCGGGATAAGTTAGTCGAGTATTGTAATTCCATAGCTTTGTTCATGTGGGTCCATTCGGTCTTAAGGCTAGCTCTAATAAGTGGGAAAATAGAAACTGATATTTTGTTATATAATTATGTTTAAAAATTCATTGTGTTATTTTTCATTTATTTGATAATTGAAAAATAAAAGGAATGAATTTGAATTTTGAAATTAATAGTGATTAATTTAAAATTCAAAATAAAATTTAAACATGATTTTATTTGGCAACTAAAGGAAAGAGAAAGTTGATTTTATTTGGAAAATTCAGAAATCCCTTGCTATATGGAGAATTCGAATTTTGCTCCAAAAGTGAGAAGGAAAATTCGAAAATCCCTAGCCATATGGGGAATTTCAGATTTTGATCCTAGAGAGAAGGGGAAATTCGAAAATCCCATCTAGGGTTTGAGTTTTTGAATTTCCTCCTATAAAAGGATATTATTGAAAACCCTAACTATGAGTTTTTAAGAAAAGAAAATATCTCACACTTTTCTCTCCTTAGGGTGGCCGGAATTTTGAGACAAAATAGAAGGAAAAATTGTTTCCTTAAGTTTTTTGAAAAGAGCCCACTCTCTCATCCCAAAACACTTAGAGTCATAGTCTTGAATCAACGAGTGGTTTTTTAGTGTGATCGTATCGATAGATCAACGATCTTGTTTCACGGCAATTCTCCATCTCGGAACGTGAGATAGTGAGACAAGATCCTTGCGGTCATTTTTTATTCAATCGTCACAAAGGTATGATTGTCATTTTATTCCTTTGTCTATAAACATATATCATGCATGTATCTCTCGTTGTAGTTTACATTTAATTTGGAATTAAATGGATATGTTAAAATTTTTGAAATTCCGCCTACAAGTTTTGTTGTTGTTCAAATGATTTTTCATTAAAAATCACAACTAGATCCCACATCTTCTCCATATCAAAATCTGAGAAAACGAATATCATTATCCAAAAATCTGATATTCTTGCAAAATCTGAAATAAAAATTGAACCAAAATCCAAAATCGAATCCACAAATCCAGAAATCAGTGAGCATGAAAACAAATAATCAAAACAGCCAATATGTGAACCATTGCATTATCTCAAATTTTAGAAATCTGAGAAAACGAATATGCAGAAGCAAGAAGAATCCGAAAAATCCAAAACCTAACCGAGAAAAGGAAAAGAAAAATTAAAGAGAAAACTAGTTTCTGAGATGTAAACCACAGTAAGAAACAATGTTAGGGCTTTGATTACGGATCCTTAACGAAAATGAGAGAAGATTTCAAAAAATCAAAACGAAGCCAAAACAGAGGGATCTCCAATAACCACGAAGGAAGAAGAGGGAAGATTGTACCTGTGGTCGTTTCTCGTCGCCGGCGTCAACAGTCGATCAACCTTCCGTCCATCAAGTGTATGCGCTGGCCTCAGTTGGAGTCGTGGTCGAGGGGAGATGCGGCTAGGGTTCTTTTTCTTTTGATCGGGGACGAGGGGGGATGAGGGGGGACGAGGG